CACGAAGCTGAGTGGAACTTCCAAAAAATTAGAAATTATAATAACTTGGAGGTGTTTATTTACAGTCTATTTATAGTGTATATAGATAATTGTTCAGTTGGAGTAAATCGACAACAACAATACAAATTCTTTTGTTTGATTTTATAGGATGATTTCCTTGACAACGAGAACTACAAGTCGAACAGCTTTATTTTATTTTCCTCTCTCTACTTAAAGTGCAATATATACTCGTCACTGTTCTTGTATAGCACATCTATTTGTTCTTATTGATGTGTTTTAGTGCGCTGTCATTGGTGCATTTGATCCTCATTGTTATTTCGATTATTAGATGTTATCCCTTTTTTCATTTCTTTTTTTGTATTCACCGAGAGAGAAAAAGAGGGAAGTTAACTATGTGTGGCAATGGGTCATTGAAATCTCCATTATTACATAGCCTAATACAAGCTGTGCACTCAACGAGAAACAAAAGTAGGGATGGTTTTATCTAGAAAGATAACGTACTTACAGTTGGTCAATTTGTTGAACGACCTCCTATTTGTCTCCGGCTTGTGGCTTAACAGCATTACTCGTATTCTCTTAACATCTCCTACGCAGTTTCTTGCACAGGTGAACCGATAGTTAGTGTGGTTTATTGCTTAAGTAAACGGTGATTCTTATGCGCGACCGTTAATACGCTTTATCTTTCCGTTACTTTCAGTTGGTAGACAAGTTGAATATTGACAGTTATCACGGACTGAAAGCTATGGCGGTTCATGTTATGGCGGTTTATGCCATAATACTTTCCCCAGAGCTCGATGTCGGAAAAAGAAAATGAAATTTAGGATAAAAGTCTGATACATTTTTTTTAAAAATGTAGTCTTTTTCGGCAGGACCGTGGTACATCAAAATTTACAATGTATATTTTCCTGTACATCACGAACTTCAAAATATTGGAGTCGCCTTTTTTCGTGACTAGAAAAAATGTGGTCATACTGAAATTAGGGCATAAAACAGGTACTGTGACAATATATAAACGCTTAAAAAATGAGGCGCATCTAACCCTAAGCACTCATGTCTGTTGAGCTTTTAGTGCTGAGTTTAATCCCGTTTAATGTTCATAACTGACCTCTCTCATTGGGATAATCTTGTAGATAGAATTGGTTCATTAAAAAAAAACCTAGATTTGCACTCTTATCTGGTGAAATCTGCAACCCACCTTTTCCTTCCACCAGTTTTCTGGACGTTGAATACTAAAACTTTGTAATCTGCGGAAGTTTGTGCCAGCCTGGTCCATCCAAGAGGTTTCTGTTCGTATTTCGGATTTCATCTTTGAGACGATATTTTTCAATCTGCCTTTTCGGCGTAGCTACGCTCTTGATAATGCTATGATATTTGACCAAAAGTTTAAGTAATTTATCGTTAGGAAATCGTTCGTTCAAATAATCACGAATCGCCCATTGAGCGCGAAGGGTTTCAAAAGAACAGCACTGTAGCTTAGTATACTAAATTCTAAGCGAGAAGCAATAAATTGAATCTCAGTGATTGAGAGAGAAATCTCGCCGCATTACTCATGCCAGAATGGACCGGTGTAAACTGAATTTCGCAAATGACCAAGGTATTCCATCTCAACTGATCCGTTTAAAGCGCTACCTTCTCTGACGGTTTCTATCGCTCGGTATTTCGAGCGTCTGAGCGCTTTGTTTTCACGTTGTATAAATTAGTTTTTGCTACGAATGTTTTTTCTACCTCCTGAGGTAAATAAATCTAAAGATGGACATGTCACATCTCACAACTTTACATCGAATCGTGTATTGAATATGATTGGTTAATGGAAACTCCCCATTACTTGAGAGAGATAACAAGGGCAAAAATGGTTTATCTTTTTTTTCGCCTTCTTTCACAAAATTTTCATATTATTTTTTATATCATTTGTTTAAATTAAAGCGGGGGGGGGGGGTCTTGGGAATGGCGATTGACTTTTCAGAGTTGGAAATAACACAGAGATAATAGGCTGCGATTGTGAAGGTGAATTAGTTTAAATTTTTTCACTTTTTAACTTTTATCACTCTTAACCTTTGAGAATATAGATTTATTTCTGGTGTCTCCCAAATTTTATTTGCTCGAGCCTTTCATCAGCTCACCGAATAATAGGAAGCTGCTAGCTGTTTTTTTTTGTTTTTTTTGTTACCTTTTATCTTATTCACAAAGTAAATTGAATTTTAAGTGAGCCCCCATCTCTTCCCTTTCTGTGCGTCTTTCCAACGTGTGCATGTTCTCAGGAATCTAAAAGAGACAAGGGGACTCTGTGGACTTTAGAAAAGTCCGTCTTAAATATCTTTCTTTCTCTACGTGTTCTACATCTTGCAAAAATATATTTAGCGATAGATATATATTCAGTCTGGTTTTTGCGTACATAAGTGGACTGCGTAAAATCATTAGATTAGTGCGATGATTTATCACTCTTATTCATAACTACTAATTTCTGGGTTTTTTTCTGATTTTCTTTTTTCATCAGCAAGTTTCGTGTGTTGACAATGTAACATAATTTACGGGACGTTGAGAATGGCGTTTTATACGACAACGGTGAACGGTAAATGAATAAGTAAATGCTGCTCAAAAATAGCGACAGGGCTTGTGTTTTATGTATCCGAAAATGCGTGTTAGGATATCCAAACACGTGCGTTTAGAAGTCAATTAGCAAAGGAATGCGATACTTGAACAAATGCTCGTTCGATTGTTCGGACGAACTTTGTAAGGCAGAAGTTTAGTTAGAGGCTATGCAGGTCCTCCAACCTTTCTTCAAGACTTTGCACACTTTGAACACACTCCCCGGCTGGCATAAAGAATATGATTTTTTTCGCGTGTAGCTTTCCAATTTCGGAAAGCATCAACAGCCCACCTCTCTTTGTACTGAACTTTTAGACTTCGAGCACAGAAACTTCTTTTTAGCTACTTTTTGTGATCGAAACTGGCAAGACTTGTCCCGGCATAGCAGCTTCTTCCACTTTTCAAAATTGCAGAGGAGGTCAATGCAAAGTGAGACTGCCTTTAATTAAACAGCAGCAGTTGCAAAAATCATCTTTCGTAACACTGACTTGCAAATCTGTTCATGTTTTAACCGTTTCACGAAAGAAGAAAAAGCAAAAACTAAATACACTCATGATCTTTGTTTTGCTTTGTGTTTATTGCTAATTAATTAGATCCTTTTGAGAAGCCATTTCATAAACTCGAGCTTCGTGTTTCATCAGGGTTTCTAAACACTCGAATACAATAGGAGCACGCGGCCGCTTTCATCAGCTTCCTCGTGTTTAGAGACCCTGATGAAACAAAAAGCCCGAGTTTATGAAACATATCTTCTAAAGTTTTGCTTTAAAAGGGTGTCGATGAAAGCTATCAGTCATCATATCAGTCCATTTTTCCTCCATTACATTAGGTTGTGCGTAACAATTGAAATCGACATCGATTTAGTGTTCTCAGTTTCTCCAGAATGTGATCGAAATTCATCTAAACTTTTCATTATTAAGTCGTCAACCAATTTTAATTGCAACGGTACCTCAATTTTATTGACGGTTGTTTATAAAGAATTTTAAAGGAAATGAGAAAGGTTTGCGAGGCAAGTGTCGAAATTTTTTTCGCGTAAGTTACACTTAATTCTTAAGAAAGACTTCCGAAGTTTTTTCCGAGTGAAAGCTTTTGATTGGAAAAACTCCTATTAGACGGTTTGGTGTGCAATATCGGTGAGCATTCTTAGTTGTTACTTTGATTATGGTCGCCGGCGCGACAAAATTAGCCCTTTTTGTACTTTTAGCAATACTTCAATTCTAGATATGTCATGATTTATTTATAGGAATCCATCACTTCTGCGAGAGACCCAACAATAGCGAAAAGCTTTTTCCATGATCCATCCCCTTTCAAACATGAATAATCAGTGAGGTTTTCTTATCCACGAGTTTATTCTCATCAAAATCAGTAAGGAACTGAGATGATTTATATCTTACTTTAGTGTAATCCTTATTTTGCTTGCGTTCCAGCGTCTGAAGAAAAAGTGTCAGCAATTGGCTTTTACTAAATCTTTGCAGTTTTCAGTTTCAACATAGGCTAACAAGTTGTACACTATAAGCTAAGTATCAAAGGGGTAAGTGTCTAGGGAAACTGAAGTGCTACCTTGATGGGCGGTGGGTTTACAAGAAAATTTGGTTCTATCAACTAAGTTGATGATGTCAACTTGGCCACTGTAAAGAATTGCTAAAGCTAAGAATTTTTCTTTAATATGTCAAGATTTTGGTTTAAACGGATAAAACTTCTGGTTGGCTAAACAGAGCTAGATTAGCAGCTTGTAATCGAGTTCTGATCTCCAGCTCCGACAAATAGGGTCTATAAATTCGTCAGAGAAGTGAGAAAAATATTTCTGCGAGCGAGCCGTGAAGCAATTACGGGGAAAATCGGTTCAGTGTTCACAACTTCGGAAATAACAGAACTGACATAAAATAATTGTTATTTTCTTATTTATCTTTTATTTCGAAGAGCAGAAGGATATTTTCACATTGAACGCAACTGTCAAAAAATTCGTGGCTGGTATGACGCGGCGTTTCGTCTCGGCTAAGAGACATGTCAGATACTTTTGCGAACTCGTCGAGCATCGCGCTCTAAGTCCCGTTCGCCAAGTAATGATGTTAGCAGGCTGGCCCTTTACCGATTATCATTGATTCTGTTCAACAACTTCGACTTCAACAACAATTCATAATGGTAATTGAACTGAGTGGAGTGCAATTTGGGCTGAAATCATACGCGTGATTTCAAAATCGAACGAGCGCGCAGCGCGAGTTCGATTTGAAATCACAAGTATGATTTCAGACCAAAATTGCACGACACGAGGTTCAATTACCACTTTATTACATCCATTTTGAAATCACCCAAATACAGGACTTGGTCAATTCGAATATTTTATTGATGCAGTACTGAGCCGGTTTTTAAATAAAAAGCGGAACCGGAAACGCTTTTACATCTCATTTTGTATGCAAAACAGAAAGACTTTGACGTCATGTGTCAAAAACTCAGTCAAGCGTATCAAAAGAAAGACAACTTTCATTCAAGAAATTCGAGAAGTCCTCAATAACTCAGAAAAATAGTGAAGCGTTAAAGTTCAGTCCTCGTCGTCTGACTCAATGATGTAAGCTCTTCGTTTCTTCTGTGGTTGGGGTGGAGAATTCTGGCTGTCTCTAGAGAAGAAATTGAAGGTGCAGCCTGTGTAATTCTGCGATGGAACGGGAGCAGCACAACTGAAGGCTTCCATGCGGTACTGAGACTGCAACGGAAAACGTGGTGGAAATCCTGAAAATTCAGCCGGCTGAAAACCAGGATTGGAGCCCATGGCCTGATGCATTTGGCCTTGTTGTTGGACGTGATAAATAGGAACCAGAGGTGTTCGTTTATGTTGGACTGCAATCTCTTGATTTGAGGCTTCATTTGCAGTGTTTTGGCGGGAGACTTCGTTTGCTTGATTTTCGTTTGACACTTCTTTATATCCACTGATAATGTGAGACAGTTCTTTCCTGTGATTCTCGTCTATTTCATCGTAGTCGTCTAACGAAGATTCACGTGCATGACCTGTTATTTCACAGATAACATTGCGCGGTTGACCAGACTTCTTTAGTTTTGATACCAATGTTTTCCTCATGCTGTGGTTCGTCAGCTTCTTATTCGTCCTGAGACAGGAGGTCATGGATTTCATTAAATTGCCGATGGTGTTTTGTCCCATTCGAACTTTGGTGTACCAAACATCTGCTGATTTAGGACGATTTATGATGCTAAGATAGAGTGGCCCTGTGTTCTTCATTCCTTCGGGTCGCTTGGACAACCAAAGCTTGAATAGCCGCACTGGATCGCTTTTTCTGCCATCGGTGCTGAACATTGCCTGTGGTGTTGTTCTTCGCCTGATGGTGAGACCACCGCTCCGCGTTTTAGTGGGACCTTCCTGGACTCAACAACTTCAGTTCCATCTTCTCGCTGTCTTATAGTTACGTCTTCCACGTATGCATCGTAGTGTTCTTGGCGACCACGAAATCCCAGTTGTTCTGTCAAATTTTTGAAGTTGACATTGGTCAAGACCTTTTCCATTAAAATCACCCAACTGACCTTTTTCCCACAGGGCTGACTCTTCTTCAGGTGTGATTGGCTGAGCTTTGTTGGGTCTCTTTCCCTTTCCTTGTTGACGTAGGGAAATTGCTTTCGCATTGAGGATTTCTTGTGAGGAGTGAAACTCTCTCGATCGCACGATGCTCAATGGATAGTTCTTCTCCTTTAGATACCGTTCAATGGCACTCTGCATGATTTTAAGGGATTCTGGCTCGTAGTCATCGCCGTCCTTTTTTTCACCTCGGCGTAAAACTTACTCAAGACCTTGTCAAGTTTTTCAGGCGCTATTGTTTCGATGGAGACATATTCAAGATGGCGGCATTGACACCAACTTCTGAAAACATTCATCCATTGTTTTGTGGAGCGGGACGTATTTTTATTCGAAGCGACAGACTTAAGCTCCTGTATTTCATCGCTTGAAATGATAGGAAATCTTGAAACATCTAACTCTTGTGGTGGCTTTTGATTTTCTTCGTTTGTTGCTGACTCGGTGGACTCGGGATTGTGCGGATTTTGAGCTCGAGAGGGTAGAAAATCGTCAAAATATTCACCAAAATGTACACGAAAAGTGGGAAAGTCCCTGGAATGTTGGTCTTCAGCCTGAAGGATCTCATTGTCATCATTCAAAAACTGGAAAAAATTAAATTCATCCATTTTTGGGGGGGAAAAATAAGAGTTATGGAAACAAAAGTTGCAAAATTTGCGAAATGATACTCTTTGTCCTTCATTTTCCTGCAATTTGATTGGTTACTTTAAACAAGCCTTGAAATCTGATTGTTTGTTTTATTTTAAGTGTAACTTCCTCATTGGCTGGAAAAAAGATGCGACTTAGAGCAAAAAATGGTGCGATTCGTGAATAAATCGCACCAATTAGAGCCAATCAGATCACAGGGACCACCAGTGATTTCAAAATGGATGTAATAAATGCAACAATTCAGGCAAAATCATATCACTTCTAAACCGATATCGCTGAAAATACTCGTTTAGAGGAAAACGTGGATTTTTGCATTATATGTACGTTTAGAGTACCACCAACCCTTTATAATAAAAAAACGAGAATTAACGGCGGCGAGTTTGATTTTTCCGGAGAAATAACAGCGAGAGTGCGATAAATTATACTATTTTTTTAAGCGAAAACAAAATATCTACCGATACTGAACTGCATCATTTCAATAATTTATTTAATGCATAAATCTACGAGCCTACAAAACCCTTCAAGGGCAAATGAACGACTAAGATTTTGTATTTGAACTGAGTTTGATGTTGTTGCTCTCTTATTCAAGTAGCTTCTTCACAAACTTTCTTTAACCTCTGAAAGCTCAATCTTTATAACCAGCGTTACAATTTTCGTTGCATATTTGAATTTATAGTGACGTTGAGAATGGCGTTTTATACGACAAAGGTGAACGGCAAATGAATAACTAAATGCTGCTAAAAAAAATAGCAATAGAGCTTGTCTTTAGGCTCATAAAAATATTTTATATATACAAAAATACGTGTTAGGATATCCAAACACGTGTGTTTGAAAATCAGTTAGCAAAGGAATGCAACACTTAAACAAATGCTCGTTCGTTTGTTGGGACGAACTTTGTAAGGCAGAAGTTTAGGGAGAGGCTAAGCAGGTCCTTCAGCCTTTCTTCAAGACTTTGCACACTTTGAACATACTCCCCGCCTGGAGTAAAGGATATAATATTTTTTGCGCGAAGCTTGCCAGTTTCGGAAAACATCAACAGCCCACCTCTCTTTGTACTGTACTTTTGGACTTCGAAAGTTCGAGCACAGAAACTTCCTTTTGGCTACATTTTGGTGGTTGAAACTGGTAAGACTTATTCCGGCGTAGATGCTTCATTCCACTTTTCAAAATTGAGACAGGAGGTCAATACACAGTGACGCTGCCTCTGATTAAAAAGCTGCTGTTGCAAAAATCACAAAAACATCTTTCATGACACTGACTAGCAAATCTGTTCATGTTTTAACAGTTCGATGAAACAAGAGAAAGCAAGAACTAACTAGAAGCAGGATCTTTGTTTTGCTTTAATTTTGTGTTATTGCTAATAAATCAGACCCTTTGGAGAAGCCATTTCATAAGCTCGGGCTTCGTGTTTCATCAGGGTTTCTAAACACTCGAATACAATAAAAGCACTCGGCCTGCTGCTGCGTTCATTCATCAGTTTCCTCGTGTTTAGAAACCCTGATGAAACAGTCGCCTTCGTGTTACCTTTCAAATGGACATCGATCTAGTTTGTTTCGTTTCTCCCAAATGTAATCAATATTCGTCCAAACTTTTCATCGCTAAGTCTTCAACCAATTTTATTTGGAACGGTACCTCAAAGTTATTGACGGTTATTTATATAGGTTTTTGAAGCAAAATAAGAAAGGTTTGTGAGGCAAGTGTCGACAAGTTTTTGCGCCGAAGTTACCCTTAATTCTTACTTGATACTTTTAGATGTTTTCTAAGTGAAAGCTTTTGATTGGAGAAACTCTCATTGGACATTTTGGTGTACTGTATCGGAGTGCATTCTTAGTTTTTAATTTGATTCTCGTCGCCGGTTCGACAAAATATAGCTCTTATTTGAATATTCAGCAACACTTCACTTCAAGACATGTCATAATTTATTCAGAGTAAAGCTACATTTCTTTGAGAGACACAACCAGAGCGAAAAGCCGTTTCCACAATCCCTCCTCTTTAAACATTGTTAATCAGTGAGGTTTACTTATCCACGAGTATATTCTCATCAAAATCAAAAGGGGACTGAGATGATTCATATCTTACTTTGTAGTAATCCTCATTTTGCTTGCCTGGCAGCGTCGCAAAAAAAATTAAAAGTAGTTGGCCGTGTTACTAAATCTTTGTAGTTCTCAATTTCCATATATTCTTACAAGTTGCACACTGTAGGCGAAGTATAAAAGCGAGAAAACAAACAAAAATACTAAGAGAAAAACATAAAGAAATTATAAGTAACAAATACTAGCCTGTTAACAGCAATTTGATTGTTTTGTAGTAGTTTTGTTTTTTCTTGTTTTGGTATTCGAGGCTCGCATTTCGCTTGCTCTTTGGACTGAATTCAGAAGAAAAAAGGAAAATTCGTGAACAAGCGACCTCCTAAAGAAAAGCAACAGCGACAACAGCGCTGTTTCATCAGACATTTTCTACGATAAATAACCCTTGTACTTGTATCTGTTAGCTTTTATTTATGTATCGAATACACACTTGGAGTAAGGAAAATATTTTTGTTCTTTAAGTAGAATAGTCTTGCATTATAGCAACACCTTGCGGGGGTAAATGCTTGGAAAAAAATATGCATTCAGATCTGTAGGTTCTCTAAATCATTTAATTCAGGGATTGGGATGACTTTGTAAACCTTATCGTAATTCGTCATTTTGTTTTCATTTTAGATGCGGAGAAGAGGCTAGAAGGTAATTTATTAGCTACCTACAATAATGAATCTTACTTTTATTTTGACAGTGTTTCAATACTCACGCTTTGCAGATATTAGATATATTAGATATGTATGTATGTTTAATAAAGGCAATATACTTAGTTAAACTCTCCGTAGTTTTTACTTCATTTTCTTAGAGCACATTCTATTGAAGCATCTTAGGTATAAATGTATAACAGGCCTTGAGCTGTTGTATTTCTTTTTTTAATTCATGCTATCGTAGATCTACGGCATCGTTCAGGAATGTAAACAATTTTTTATTTTCTTAACATTCCCAGGCGATACGGTAGATCGGCGAAAGCTTAGAATAAAAGAGGAATACAGTTGCGCAATGTCTCAATCGAATCGTCCACTTGCCTGGTTTCTACGGCCTATAAAATATGGACATAAATTACTGTTTCGCTGTGTGCCCATTTGAGCTGTAATTGGACCCGGATTTCCACTAACCATAGCATTTTTTTTAGTTTTGTTGTTGCAAGGAAGATGAGCTTGCTGCTTTATCAGGCATTTCTGCGATAACTAACCCTGCATTTGTTTCTGTTAGCTTTTATTTATGTATCGAATACACACTTGGAGTAAGGAAAATATTTTTGTTCTTTAAGTAGAATAGTCTTGCATTATAGCAACACCTTGCGGGGGTAAATGCTTGGAAAAAAATATGCATTCAGATCTGTAGGTTCTCTAAATCATTTAATTCAGGGATTGGGATGACTTTGTAAACCTTATCGTAATTCGCCATTTTGTTTTCATTTTAGAGCGGCGGAAGAGGCGAATAGGTAATCTATTAGCTACCTACAATAATGAATCTTACTTTTATTTTGACAGTGTTTCAATACTCACGCTTTGCAGATATTAGATATATTAGATATGTATGTATGTTTAATAAAGGCAATATATTTAGTTAAACTCTCCGTAGTTTTTACTTCATTTTCTTAGAGCACATTCTATTGAAGCATCTTAGGTATAAATGTATAACAGGCCTTGAGCTGTTGTATTTCTTTTTTTAATTCATGCTATCGTAGATCTACGGCATCGTTCAGGAATGTAAACAATTTTCTATTTTCTTAACATTCCCAGACGATACGGTAGATCGGCGAAAGCTTAGAATAAAAGAGAAATACAGTTGCGCAATGTCTCAATCGAATCGTCCACTTGCCTGGTTTCTACGGCCTATAAAATATGGACATAAATTACTGTTTCGCTGTGCCCATTTGAGCTGTAATTGGACCCGGATTTCCACCAACCATAGCATTTTTTAGTTTTGTTGTTGCAAGGAAGATGAGCTTGCTGCTTTATCAGGCATTTCTGCGATAACTAACCCTGCATTTGTTTCTGT